AAGAGCAGGAGAGCAGGTACACGGATTCTGCACAAAGACGTAAACACAAAGCGCAGACAGATCAGAATCAGTGAGTTTGATTCTTTCTCACCCGACGGCACGGACATGGTCGGGGCTGAAAGCCGACAGCTCGCTGATTCCGATGCTTCGGCGGGTCCGCGCTTTGTGTTTACGCCCTTTTTGTGTTGATTCTAGAGCTGTTAGTTTTATCTCTCTCCAAACAATACTGACTGAACCAGCAGCAAAAGAAGATCCAAACTATGCTTCACATAAACATCGTCATGAATTCCCTCTGACGTTTACTGTTTTGCTTCCACCACGATAAAATCACACGTCATGCACAGCTCTCTCTCTCTCTCTGTACCTCAAGAACAGTTTTCTTCATTATTCGCTTGCTTTTTACGCACAAGACTACCGTTGTTTACAGCGCTGTCGGCCGCTGTTTTTTTCCCCCTTTTACTTACTTCTGAAGAGAAAACCTAATTTCTGCCGTTTATTAGGCTACTGGACAAACTTAAACTTTTTAAAATTATGCAAAATGCAAAACGCTTAGACATGTCTCTAATAAAACCGCTGTAACTTCAGAGGTAATGTTCATATGTTGATTAATGGTTTTCTTTCGTTTTTGATGTACTGCAGAATATTTTCAGCTTCCTTTTTATAGATACAAAAATATGTAAATGTACTGATCTGAATTCTAATATTTCTGACTGTCTGAGGCAAAATTTCCCAGATTCAAATTGAATTGAATCGAATCGTGGACCGAATCGATTCGGGACCTTGTGAATCGGAATCGAATCGATTCTAGAAATCAGTGACGATACCCAGCCCTAGTTGCTGCTATTTACCTATGGTTGCTACGTACAGCCACAGAAAATGTTTTCTTATGCTTAATGCTGCGTTGATTCATATGTAGTTCCTACAGTTCTCATCTGACTTTTAAACACATTTATCTCAAACACTAACGTGTTTGTGCGTCCCTGATTCTCGTCCCTCCCAGTGATGCCATCACCTCAGTTCTTTGGCGGAGAGGCACTGGTGTCTTGGAGCAACCCGGACATCACTGTTGCTGTTCCCTGGTATATTGGCCTAATGTTCCGCACCCGGCGTCCTGCTGGCACCCTGATGCAGATCAACGCTGGGCCTTCCTCTACCATCAACCTCATGGTAAGAAGCATTGTTGGAAAAATTGTCACCCCCAGCAGTTTGCAATTTAAGCTTGTATACAGGTTCTAGACTACCTCTAAAATGAGTGGGAAGTTCTCAGTTTCTGCACCCCCTCCCCCCTTTCCAGGTAAGTGAGCAGCGGGTCCATATGGAAGTGTTGCTGAGGCACCAGTTGGTGGCATCGCTGAGCTTTCCTCAAGTGCGTGTCAATGACGGGGAGTGGCACCACTTGCTGATTGAACTGAAAAGCATCAAAGATGGCAAGGAAATCAAATACATGGCAGCTGTCTCTCTGGACTACGGCATGTATGAGGTACAGGGCGTCTTACTTTAGAGATGATAAAGGTAGTCAAGAAAGGTTGTATTCATTTTAATTACCGTCTTATTTTTAAGCAGAAGTCAGTCGAGATCGGCAATGACCTCCCAGGCCTCAAGCTGCAAACTCTTCATGTTGGAGGTTTGCCCGGGGAGAGAAACGATGTCATCAAAGGATTTGTTGGCTGCATACAGGTGGGTGGGCGTGCACTTCGAATGTCGCATTTTATTTCTTCTTCAACCTTCTTTCCTGATCGTCTCCCTCATGAATGTGTGCTATCCACTAGGGTGTGCGTATGGGTGAGACATCCAACAACGTGGCCAATGTGAACATGGCGCAGGGCCTGAAGATCCGTGTGGAAAACGGCTGTGATCTGGCTGACCCGTGCGACTCCAACATCTGCCCTGAGAATAGCCAGTGCATTGACGACTGGAGCACACACACCTGTGCTTGCGACCCAGGTAAGATGCACAAGCAATAAAACATACATAAGTTGGTCGAGAGAGCTCAATACGTTGCCTCTTAAGAAAGGTGTGTGAATGTAAACATCTGTATTTCACGCCTTTAGGCTTGAATTCAGTTCTTGTTTGTCTCTCTTTCCTGCAGGCTACTTTGGGAAAGATTGCGTGGACGCTTGTAAGCTCAACCCCTGTGAGCACGTTTCCACGTGCGTCCGCAAACCAAGCTCCTCCCACGGCTACACCTGCGAATGTGGACAAAATTACTACGGCCAGTACTGTGAAAACAAGTAAGGTTTCTTTCTGAGGGCAAGCAGGGAGAAGGGTTTTCTTGCACACCACCTGTACAACTTGTATAACGCCACTGGAGCAATGCAGGCTCCAGGTCTGACACTTCCATTGGCTCTGGTGAATTGAGATGGTAATAAAATGTTAATAACATGGAATCAATTTGCTAGCAGACTGAAAGCAGACCTGTGTGCGAGACACAATATCCAGATGTTATAAACAAACCAGACTAAAAATGGATATTGCCTCCCACAAAGACAAAGCTCATTAATCCTCTTTGGTTCACTGAGGTTTCTTTCTCATTCTGTATTGTTGCCGGTCCTTCAGGGGAGTTTTATTAGTCAGTAATCCGAGCCTGACAGCGTGTTTGGGTGCCTGAGAGTGAGAGAGGGACAGATCAGCCATTTATTTGGGAATTAGTCGAGCAGTGGTGTAAGCATTTCTGCAAAGTAGCCAGCCCCGATCGAGAATCACTCATTTCCCTGTGAACCCTGTCCCCTATGACACGCATCACTTCCTCTCTTAAGCAGGATGTGGGATTCCCCCTGAATGCTTGACTGCTCCTCCACAGGTGTTTACTCTTTGCTTCCCTCATCCTGCCGCTCTTCCTCCGTCGGATCGCATTGCACCAGCAGAGATCGCATCTCGAGGAAGAAAAAGAAAGTCCGTGTGTGTCTGAGTGACCGGCTTAAAAGTGCAGAGGAAGTTTACTGTAGATTTGTTTATTTGGTGATAAACTGAAGAGATAATCGACCGTTTGTTGGATTGTAGGCGCTGATACCGAGTCAGCAGCGTGTCACAACCAGATCACGCAGTGCGTGGCTTTTTAGAAAAGCTACTTTGAGCCACACCCTGGTCACAGGGGTCACCATAGCAGGTAGATTTGATTGTTTGATTTGGGAGCGTTTTACAGCAGATGCTCTTCCTGATGCAACCCCAAAGGGGATTGTGTCTTAAACTGGAACCAGACTGGTACCCGATCTCAACCAGGTAAAACCCAGTACAGGAAGGTCTGGAGCTGGCTCTCTGTTTAAAAAGTCTCTGATCCTATTAGTATTCTCCAGTAGCTTGGATGGAGCCGGGGAGGAGACTCTGTCAGTCCTACTACCACTGAAGGCGTGGTTGCAGAGGGTGCCCTCTGGTCAAGCCCCGCCCCTCACCCTTTGAGTAATGTTACAATAATACACAGGTTTTCGCCTTTAGTGTTTCACAAGGGTTAAAAAGGGAATGTCCACAGTTTAGACTTTTTGACTCCAGTATATTTTATTAAAGTTTAGCCGGAGCAAAGCAAAAGTCAAATCAAATAACAATAATCACATAATCAAATCACTTGAATTATACTTATCAAGTTAACCTGCTATGAGCTAATGCTGATCTTGAGAGAAAAGAGGTTGAGGAGAGAAGGGCACGCCTTGGCCACGACACCCTTATCTCTGTTCCGTGTAATTGCACTTTGCAGTGTGCGTTTGATTTTGACATCTACTGTTGTCTTTAATGGCAGAGTGGAAGAGAAATGTCACGACGGCTGGTGGGGCAGTCCCATGTGTGGACCGTGTAACTGTGACACAAGCAGAGGATTTCATAAAAGCTGTAACAAGACCACCGGGGAGTGCCGCTGCAAGGTAAAGGAGGTTTTTAGTTCATATTAGCAGCAAATTCATGTAATATTCAAAGTCTCCTTCCTGCTCAGTGATGTGTGTCTTCTC